GCCCCTGTAGCAGGGCCCTGTGGTGTCGTCCTCCCAGAGGGAGTTGGCCGGTGCTGACGGGCCTGCTGACAGCGGGCAGTGCAGGACTGGGCTCTGAGCAGCAGCGGGACGGGTCCGACCCGCAGCCCGCAGGTGAGGCCTGGGTACAGGGGAGAGGCAGGCAGGAGAGCAGGAATCACAGGACTGGGGCACAGGGGTCCTCACTCTCACACACTCTCACACACACACTCACATACACACTGAAATACACACACACACTCTCACACACTGTCACACACACTCTCACACACTCTCACACACTCTCACACACTCTCACACACACACACTCTCACACACTCTCACACACACACTCTCACACACACACACTCTCACACACATACACACTGAAATACACACACACTCACATACACACTGAAATACACACAAGCTCACACACATACTAACACACTCTCAAACATACTCACACACACACGCAGACACACACACGCACACACGCGCAGGGCAGAGGAGTGGACGCGCAGGAGTTGACCCCTGGGGCCGCACCGCTGGTCAGCCGAGAGCGACAGGGAGCTGTAACGAGCCGAGCAGCTGCCAGCACCTCGGGACTCACGCGCTCCAGTGTGAGAGTGTGTGTGCGTAATGTGAGCGTGTGTGAGCATGTGTGTGTGTGATGTGAGTGTATGTGTGCTTGTGTGAGCATGTGTGTGATGTGAGTGTGTGTGTGTGTATGTAATGTGAGCGCGTGTGTGTGCATGTGTGTGAGTGTGTGTGCGTAATGTGAGCGTGTGTGTGCGTGATATACACTGAACCGTGACCATGTGTGTGCATGTGTGAGTGTGTGTGTTGTGAGTGTGTGCATGTGTGAGCGTGTGTGTGCATGATGTGAGTGTGTGTGCGTAATGTGAGCGTGTGTGTGAGTGTGTGTGCGTAATGTGAGCGTGTGTGTGCATGTGTGTGTGAGCGTGTGGGCGTGTGTGTGAGTGTGTGTGTGAGTGTGTGTGCGTAATGTGAGCGTGTGTGTGAGTGTGTGTGTGAGCATGTGTGAGCGTGTGTGTGCGTGATGTGAGTGTGTGTGTGCATGTGTGTGAGTGTGTGTGCGTAATGTGAGCGTGTGTGTGAGTGTGTGTGCGTAATGTGAGCATGTGTGTGCATGTGTGTGTGAGCATGTGGGCGTGTGTGTGAGTGTGTGTGTGAGTGTGCTCATGTGTCTTCCTCTGAAGTTCATAAACAAGATGCTGGCTGTTCCTTAGTGCTGGTGAGACTTCCTGAGACACCTGAAATAACCAACAGGCTATTTCTAGAGCCCCGACAGTAAGACCCGGTTTAACTCCTTCTAGCCCTGCAGGGAGAGTGGGGGGTGCGGGCCTCGCCAGCTCTCGGAGACTGGCCCCTGGCGGAGCTGTTTGTAAACACAGTGGACATGTATCGATGTCCATGTGTCGTCCAGGGCCCTGGCGGTATTCACTTCCTGTTATGTGTTGTAACAAAGGTCAGTCCTGAAGACTCCCGAGTGCAGCTGTCGTTCCTGTGGTCTCTGCGGCGTGTGGCCGCAGTAATAACAACAACAACAACAACAACAACAACAACAATGATAATAATAATAATGAAGACTCGCAGGACATTCTTCTTCTTATCATTTGGGCTGGCTTTAAAGCTGAGGTAGCTGTCCGGGAAGGAGCTCCAGTAATTCAATTCAAGGTGCTTTATTAGCATGACCGATGGGTACAATCAGTGGTGCCAAAGCAAATAAAAATAATAAAATTAACACGAAACAAAACACACAAAATAAAAGTAAAATTAAATCTACAGACCTATTACAGACATTTACAACAGAGACATGTCATAAAATATTGACATATACTGTAGACAGATGGAGCATTATTGGGAGACAGGCTCACTGTTCCTCAGGCTGTGACAGGAGATCTCACCTGTCTTCAAGTGCGGTGCCTCACCCCTGGGCTTCAGAGCTGTGTTGCGTTCAATCCCTTCCCCCGGGGACTTCCTCCTAGCCGTCCTCTGAGGAGCATGGGGAACAGTGAATTAGGACACACCTGATCAGTGTGGTGCCATTCCAGGGGTCTCACACGTTTGCCGCACATCTGGAAAGGGAAATCGGACCCCTGTGGAAATGTTGGAGTGAAACCGCAGCCCCAGCCAGCCCTTTGTGCCGGTCGGTCTTGCGCGGTGAGGACCTGGCCCAGGGTACTGCCATGTGGTTAACTCCGCGCGGACTGTGCTGCCCTGACCTCTGGGAGGGGGTGAGCCTGCTGGGACTCTGCTGGGACCAGACCGGACCCAGACCAGCTCGGAAGGACGATCGCAGAGAGACGTTCTTTCTCGGGGGGACCAGTATCCCATGGGGCAGCTGCGCGTGTTCGCCCCCCCTGTGAATTCTGGGAAACTCCCCGTGTGAGTTTTCGGGTGTAATGCCTGTCTTCCTCCTCCTCCCCGCTCATCATCGTTCCCTGGGGGGGTGGGGGTTGGAGTTGGGGGCCCGGGCTTTTTTGGGGTCCCTGCTCCCCTGTGTCTGGAGCGGAGGTCGGTGAGCGCCCATCCCAGGGGCGACCCCAGTGGCGGCGACCCACCCCTCCGAACCCTCCTCACTCCTCACGGGACCCGCGTTTGTCCCGGAATTCCGCCCTCCGGGAAGAGCTGGGAATGCTCTCCGGAGCAGGGCGCGCCGGCTGCCCTGTGCCTGGCAGCGCGCCCGCGCTGCTTGCGATCCGGAATGGGAGGGGGGTCGTGCTCCGTCCATTAGCTGCGCCAGCTTGGGAAGTCAGGAGCTTTCCGATGAGACAGCTGTATCCCCCCTGGCTCAAGCCTGCCCTGATTCCAGTCCCTGTCTGTCCAGCCCTGACAGATCGTCAATACCTCCCTCCTGGGGGAGGATGCTGCCAAAGCAACTAGAGGCTTTTAGGTTCTTAAAAATGAGGAGGATAAGTCTATAATGCAGGTGGTCAATAATTCATATGCAGAGTAGCAGGACGGGAAGTACTGTCTTCCTGTGGAAGAATAGGAATGGTGTATTTTTAATGAATCCTCCAGCAGGAGAAAACAGCTGATCTATTTCATGTCGGTCTATCTGGTCTGTCGAAGCATGCATTCTTGGAAAGGTTTTTGAGAATCGTGTTGCCCGAAAAGGCTGTTCTGCTCGATGAACAGAGAGCTGCCTCTCCTGTGAGCGCCACTGCGTTTTTTTGGGGGGGCTGTACCCCCGGTCTGTGGCCCCCCCCGACTTCCAGGGCGGCGAGGTGATAGAAGTATAGAGTGTTTCCAGGGGTTGGGTCCCTCACTGAGAGGAGGAGGCTCAACACCCAGATCTGGGGTCTCCCTCACTCCTCTCCCGAAGCCGGACCCCCCTGCTGGGTATCCCGTCTGGGGTCCAGGACCCTGTGGAGCTGTGGAGCGTGAGCGTGGCCCGGGAGCTGAGGGTTCCCCGTCAGGCACCCTGCTGGTGAGGGGCTCCCAGTCCCCGCGGTGGCCCGGGATATTGCCCCACAATCCCCTGCCAGCTCTCTTCGGCTCGGCCCGCACCCTGCTCGTCCCCTGAGCCACATCTGCGCACGTCTGTCTGGCTGCCTAGCAGTGCGAGTCCGAGCAGCTCTGGGTGTCTCTGCTGGACTCCCAGCGTCTGGGTTTCCTGGAGAAAGGTGGCCTCCTGTGCTTGTGCTCTCCAGCTGGATGGACATCTATCCTGGAGAAAGTTGAACTCGTCATCGGTTTCGCAGAGTTTGGGTTTTCCTGCTTTGACCTCTTTCATCATCAGCGGCACCCGTTTCTCGAACGCCTCAGTCCTACACGCTGGGTCGGCCGTGAAGTCAGACAGCAGTCGCCCTCAGTAGCTAAAATCTGGATCTCTGTGCTCCGGGCACAAGAGACCTCCTTCCCAGCATTCTCAGCGCTCCCCACATGTGTCAGACTCTTCAGGGGCGCCACAGCTCTTTCTAACAGGTCCCCTGCCAGCTTGTGACAGCCAGGAAGTCATTGCAAACCTGTAGTATTTTCACCAGAAGCTTTCAGGCAGTAACGCAGACCTTGCTGCCTGCACCCTCTGGTTTTTTTCCTGCGGTTCCGTGAGTATTTCCTGCTCCGTGCGCCCACCCACCCCTCTCCCGCTCTCTCTGTCTGCCCAGTCTGTGAACAGCTACAACCAAGGCGACATCGAGGGCTCGGAGCGTCTGGGCCGCAACGCCCTGTACGTGGCCATCGCCTCCATCATCATCGGCCTGCTGGTCATCGCCATCTACTGCACTGTGCACTTCACCACGGTAGGCGGCTGCCCGGCTCGGCGTCCAGCATGGCGTGTCCAGCCCCCTGTGTCCGGCCCGCTGTCCGTGCTACTGCCATCCATCCTTGTGCGCAGCATGGCGTCTCCCTCCTGCCCTCCTCCCAGCTCAACCCCCTTCGCGGCTGCCAGGCAGGCTGCCCAGCCCCCCGAGAGCACGCGCTGTCCTGTCCTTACCCCTCCGTGCTCTAGGGTCCCCAGGCCCATCAAAGGGCTGCCTGTTGAAAGTCGGTGTGCCTCTTCTTCTTGTTGTCGAGAATTATTTTCAGGAAATGGCAGGATGAGACCTTTGGTTAGATGGGTTACACTGTCTGTAACCCTTTCTCACGCACAGCCCCAGTGCTACATCAGCGCTCTAGTGACGGGGACACTAGACTGTAAAAAAGGCACCGTCCTTCTGATGGGACGTAAGACCAAGGTCTTGACTCTTTGGGGGGTTTTCGAAAAGTGTAGGGGTGTTACCCTGGTGTCCTGGTCAAACCTCTGCTCTGGCTCCATCACTCTGCTCTCCTCCCCACTGGGAGCTGGTGTGTGGGGAGAGGACTGGTGCATCACCCAGGTGGGGCTGCACACTGGCGGCGGTAGTGGGATCCCTATTACTGTAAAGAGCTGTCAGTGGAGAGTCCAGAATAGTGCTATAGAAGGATGTGAGGATGAATTCATTAAATGAGCAATGAGTGGCGTCTCCCCCCTGTGAGCGAGAGACAGTGGAGAGCTGGTCTCTGGGTTATCTGCGGCCTGGGGAGGGGAGCTGTACGCGCGCGGAGCCCGCAGGCGACCGGGATCGAATCCTGGTGGAAGCAGTGAGGGCTCTGGGCGCGTGCCTGTCCAAAACGCCAGGTGTTTGTTTCAGAAGCGGCTCAGAGCCGATTCTCTCCCAGTGCATCTGCAGAGCAGTCGCTGTGCCCCCCGGTGCATCAGAGTCAGCAGCTTGGTTTTGCTCTAGTGGCGATCAGCGGCTATTCGCATTGTTTGCACATGGAGTCCTCTGTGCGTTTTTGTCGCCTGGTCAGCTGACCGCTCCACCATCCTGCGCGTGCTGCTTCCTGCCCCGAGCCCGGATCGAGAGCCACGCCGGCCGTCTAACGGTTTCTGTTTTCCTTCGACTCCTTTAGCACGTGATCTGACCCCGCGCGGCCCCAGACACGCCCTCGCGCGACGCCGCGGGCGAGCCCTCGTGCTGCGCGCCCTCAGGGAAGACCGCGCCCACCTTCCGGTTTTTCCTGGGTTTTTTCCTTCACGGCGGCGCTCTTGCCTTTACCTTTGTTGATTTTACCGAAAGCGATGAGAAGTATTTCTGCGTTTCTGTATATCCCCAGCAGAGAAGCTCCCCTCCTCTGCTGCTCTCTGTGTATGGCTGGAGTGAGACACAGAGCAGCAGCAGGAGAGGAGGGAGGACGTTTCCTCATGGAAAATTAACAGTCCTGAGCTGCTCCAAAACCTGGACAGATTTCCTGTCTAGATCATATTCCTTCACTTCACAGGCATCGGTTGTCTCATCTTTCTATCACCCGACTTCGTAGGAACGGCCAGCACGCAGCTCGTAGTCGTTCGTTCTGCGCCGGGGTTTTGTTTAAACAAAAACCAATCCGCCCCCATCATCCACGACCCACCCAGAGGGACCCCAGCTGAGAAGGAGCTGGAGGCACGTGCGTGATGACATGTCGATGTGGCGAAGCGTCTTGCGGTATTTCTGTTTGTCTTACAAGGATGGAGCGATTGGCACTCGGCTCGGTTGTTGTGCACTAGTTCTGTGTCTGTTGTATCCCTCGTGCCTTCTGTGGCAGGCACAGTACATGCGATGCATGTTGAAGACGGTTGTGTACAGAAATCAGTGAACGATGCTGTTTCTCGTGTCTGTGTATGTGCGCCCCTTTTCCTTTTAGATACAGTTTTGAGGTGCGGTGCACCTCAGTGAGGCCACAGACCACAGCCCCCGCGGAGGGGGTGTGATGGGGGTATCAGGGGCAGCAGAGCCTAAACTACCCCTCTACCACCCCGACCACCCCCCCCTCCCCCAGGGGTCCTGGAACCAGACTGCTGACCCAGCAGATGCCCTCCTGTCCACCCAGTGACCCAGACACCCACCACGGCACGAAGTCCCCAGCAGCCCTCAGACTGAGACGCCGAGAGGCCGGTGGCTGATACTTAAATCTCCTTCTTCAGTTGTTAACGGGGGCGTCTCTGCCCTCTGTGCTTGGACTCAAGGCCACGGAGGAGCCTGTTCTGCACTGAGCATGTTTGTGCTGGAATGGAGGGGGGGTCGAGGGTTTGGAAGGGGGAGGTGTCTTGAGTCCTCAGTAGCATGGCCTCCTGGCTCCTCTAATTCCCCAGGCAGGACTCGCCTGATGATGCCCATTAAACTCGTCAGTCAGTGCCAGCATCAAGGCACTCTGTAGAAGAATAACATTCGAAAGAACAAAGGAAAATGTTTTAAAAAATGTATGTAATTTTTCTTTTTCCCTGTGGCCCATATTTAAAGTCTTTAAAAACCACATCCTTCCCCAGTCATGCTGCCGTCCTGGAGATGACCAGCTATTCACTGACCAGCAGCGTCTAGTGTGCGCTGGTGATGCTGAAGGGTGGAGCGACCCACACTGTCCAGGGGGGGCGCTGTGCCAGAGAAACACATTTCAGCATGCTGATTGTAGCCAGCGGCAGGGCTGACAGCCTCACGTTTGAAATCCGGATTGGTGCTAGGGTGTTTGGGAATTTGGGGGCCAGGTGTTTGGCAGAGTCTTCTCTCAGAGCCCTGGGGGGGGGGGCTTGTTTTCGGGGGTTTGTTAAATCAGGGCTCCCCAAGTTTGCCCATTGAGGACAAGGGCTCAGCTCGTTGTGTAGGTGTCCTTAAATCAGCAGCAGCTCCAGAGCTGTGCCGGAAAGATGAACAGATCCAGTTTAAGCTGTTTAAGCCCTCATGTGCTTAAGGAGTCCTGCACCACCTGCGGCGCTGGACTTCTAACCACCTGCCCTGTCACACCTGGTGACAAGGTGTGTCTGCGCCAGGGGCGCGTCCCCCCGGGCCTGAAGAGATGTGGGAGCACCGGCTGCACTGTGGGCCTCGAACCTTTGGCCCCGATGGGAGTTAAACCTGGCATGAACACGCACATGTGCAGCATGTCGACTTAAAAAAGAAATGTTCTCGTTTGTATGTTTTCACGAAGGTATTGTCTTCGGAAGTGAAGTCACAGTTTACACTTTATTATTGTGTATTTAATATTATGTACACAGATGTAACACGTTTGAATAAATGTCCAAACCCTCTGTCTCCTCTCATTGTGCATATCTTGTGTTTTTTCATTGTTACTATGTGATTATTAAACCAGTGGGAGGCTGTGTGGTCTCTGTGGAGCCCCTTGACGTCGGTGTGCTCTGGGACTCACAGAAATCAGTAGTCAAGCCATCGTAGGCCGGACGAGCCACACAATCCGAGGCTGCTATCCAGTGCCGAATCTCTGCTATCTTTCGTCTCTGCGAGTCAAGACAGCTGGAACTGGACCAGCTTGTCTGACGTTGGAAGCAGGCAGCTTCTCCGCCCGGGCGCTGTCTCTGTGCAGCGGCTGACAGAGAAGGGGGGCTCGACAGGAGTAACTGGCAGGCGCAGATGTCGGGGGTCAGCGTGTGTGCGTGTCTTCGCACTAAGCTCCTGGTCTCTCCCCCGAGCTCCCCCCAGCCCCTGCGGGACAGCTGCATTCTGCCTAGTCTGGAGGATCCTGTATTCCGATCTGTAATCCTATCGGTTGCACCTGCTAAATATAGGGTAGCTGTTCCTCCAGGCTGGTCAGCTGACTGGACAAGACAGACAGCCCCTCGACCTGCTTCTGCACTTCCCAAGATCCGGGGATATCCTGGAAAGCTGCTGGATCCCCAGGTTCTTAATCTTCATCATCACCATCATCATCATCCAGAATGCAGACGTGTGGCTCCAGGGCTCGAGACTCTTCCACCTGCCATCTTCCTTGGAGTTTCATGATGCTATCGAGCCTGTTGAAAGGTGTCAGTTCTTCCTGTCGGTGTAGTTCTCAGCTGATTGAGAGTGTAAATGTTAACTGAATGGAAATGCATTATAATAATAATCATTAATAACAATTGCTTACACTTCTATAGTGCTTTTCTGGATACTCCACTCAAAGCTCTTAACAGGTAATGGGGATCCCCTCCACCACCACCAGTGTGCAGCCCCACCTGGATGATGCACCAGTACTCTCCCCACACACCAGCTCTCAGTGGGGAGGAGAGCAGAGTGATGAAGCCAGTTCAGAGATGGGGATTATTAGGAGGCCATGATTGGTAAAGGCAAGGGGGTAATTTGGCCAGAACACTGGGGTAACACCCTTTTCGAGAAAAACACCCTGGGATTTTTAACGACCACAGAGAGTCAGGACCTCGGTTTTACGTCTCATCTGAAGGACGGCGCCTGTTTACAATGTAGTGTCCCCGCCACTATACTGGGGCATTAGGACCCCATTAGGTGAGCGCCCCCTGCTGACCCCACTAACACCTCTTCCAGCAGCAGCCTTAGCTTTCCCAGGAGTCTCCCCTCCAGGTACTCACACTGCTGGGCTCCAGTGGGCTGCCAGCTGGGAGCTGCAGAGTGATACGGCTGATGATGTGTCTGTATTGTAAATGCCTGTAGGTTTTATATTAGTTGTATTTGTTTTGCTTTGACAAGGCAGTGTAGTGTCAGTGTAGCCCTCCCCTCCCAGCTGTCCGCCAGCGCACCCCCACTGTTCCTCCTGCACTCTCACTCTCTTCCAAGCGCGTGGCAGGCTTACACACGCCTGTGACAGGCGCCGCGCACGCCTCCGGCCTGTGGGCGTGGGCACTGCAGCACACGCAGGGCCATCTGGCATTTTCTCATGCATTTTCTTGGCCTTTTTATTTTTTAAAACTTTTTTACAAAAAAACTACGCTTACATACAATACACACAGAAGTACATATAATAATAATAATAATTAATAATTGCTTACACTTATATAGCGCTTTTCTGGACACTCCACTCAAAGTGCTTTACAGGTAATGGGGATCCCCTCCACCACCACCAGTGTGCAGCCCCACCTGGATGATGCAACGGCAGCCATGATGCACCAGTCCGCTCCCCACACACCAGCTCTCAGTGGGGAGGAGAGCAGAGGGATGAAGCCAGTTCAGAGATGGGGATTATTAGGAAGCCATGATTGGTAAGGGCCAATGGGAAATTTGGCCAGGACGCCGGGGCCATATACCGCCATATACCGCCAATTTGGCCATATACCGCCATCAGGAGTACAGTTACGTTAAACGAGGTAAATAAAGATAAGGCATTTATTTATTTATTGATACAATACCGGGCTGGTGTAATGTTGAAGTCAAATGACATTTGTACTTTTTTCAATGGGGCTGAAAAGAAAGATCACATATATTTTTCCAAAAGAAGTGTCAATATTAAAATGCTTCTTTATGTCATTTTGCAGATTAATCCAGAATGTTTTAACAACCGGATGTGTGCAAAACAAATGCTGTAACATTTCTGGGCTGTATTAGCAAAAGATACAAGTAGCATCTATATTATTTGTTTAAAACTATGCACAACAAGAGTCCTGACACAGTAAACACGATGAGCAATTAAGCTCTCGCCCGTGCGAACCGTGTCCACAAGGTAAAGCTTACAGAGCAGGAAGCGACCTGCAGCACGCAGCCCTGCTAACTCGGTCACGGCGGTTACACATGATTAAAAAAGCGACGAAGAAAATTTAAAAAAATCATTTCCTGGGGGCATTGCCATCAGCTCTCAGGTGGGACCCGTATTCCACAGCCACACACGCAGCTGCAGGTCTCTCGCTGGGGCTTCGTGGCGCCTCCACGAGTCCTCGCGAGCCCTGGCGGCTGTGCGCTGTCCCGACACCCGCCAGCTCCGTATTTGCATAATACACCCACATTGCATTGCGCTGCAGAAATGCCGTTCTTTATAAAATATAACAGATTTTAAGTCTCTCCTGCAACGTGCACTGTTGAGGATTGTGGAGTGCAGTCGCTGCCTTGCTGGTGTTCGCATATAGTTCTTCGACCTTGTGGGAGCTGGTGGGACTACCCTGAGCCGGTCCACAGGTACTCAAGATGGGGTCCTCTGCGCTCCGAGTTCTCATCAGTACACTCTGGTTTCTCTTCAGATCGTATAAATCTTTCGCCTTTTACTAAAGATTTCCGTGGAGAGGAACATTATGAGTTTTAACTAATTTTTTGATCGCCCTGCCTCACGGCGGGGCCCCCATATTGGTTGAAAAATAGAATTTGAGCTGTTTAGAGTAAGTTTAATAAAGAAGTTCGAGTAATGGTTTTTCATATGTAAGATATAGATGTATATGAATACTAGTGTTATAATTTTCAACTAGCATGATTGACGGTACGTGGATGCGATGATTTTTATCTGCTGTATAAGATGCTGTGAGTTCGAGTCTGTGCTTGGAGTTTACTTCATATCTGTGGGATAAGCGTGATGATTCAGCCTGTTCTGCTGTTCTCTCATTCTGCTCTCCTCGCTGAGAGCTGGTGTGTGGGGAGCGGACTGGCGCATCATCCAGGTGGGGCTGCACACTGGTGCTGGTGGAGGGGATCCCCATTACCGTGAAGAGCTCGGAGTGGAGTGTCCAGAAAAGAGCTATAGAAGTGTAACACATCTATGACTAGTAATAGTACCACAGGGGTAACAGAAAGGCGACATCCTTCCTAGTGTCTGTCCCAGCCGGGCTGCCGTACCGGAAGTCCGGCCGGCGCAAGGCGGAAGAGGAGGTGTGGCCGGGTTAATGGAGCTGAAGGTTACTCGTATACATCTGTACGGAGACATGAAGAAGTAGGGCTGCAGCTCCACAGCGGGAGAAGGAACATTTCCGAAACGGAGGTAAGATGCGAGAGTATAATCTCTCTAACACCGCAGCTCTTTTAAATCACTGTGGTTGAGTTTCATGTCGCTGCAATGTAGAGCGGTCAACATGCTATTGATTAGGTAAGTACACACTGCTTGTAAACATCATCTGACTTCGCTGTTGTGGTCACATCAGCGTGCAAGCGGAATATGAGGTGCTAAATGAAATGCAAGTCGAAGGTTATTAGTCTGAGTCTTTTGGCGCTGTATGTCTGTAAACACTACGTTAACAGTATCCACTGCTTCCGACAGTATCCCGGAATCTGGCTATAGTTGTTTGTGCATCAGAGCCGGTACCGATACCGGTACCGGTAGCGATGGCGTATCGCTTAGCTGGGCCTCGCCATCAGCTCGCTGCGAGGCGGACCTGTGGACGAGTGGAGTATCTCGCACAGTTCAGCCACCGCCGTACAATTACAAAAACAGCTGTATGCAAACGGGTTGTGTTTTACATTGCAGTAAGGATATATTAAAAAAAAAAACATGTTTTCTTACAAGTTCGACTTTCTAGTACCTGTGTTTTTCTCGTGTTGTTTCTGTAATGGAATACGATCGCTGTCGACGAGCGGAGTTTGGGGCTTCCGACACGAGTACAGGAGTTTGTTGGCTTGTGTATATTAGACCTTTTAATCTCGCTGATCTCTCAGCTCGTACACCGTCCAGCAGACACCACAGTACGACACCACCCAGTGTAGACAGTACATTGCAAAATCGTACATAATAATAAATAGGAACAACCAGAACACGTATTACGTTGGAGAGAACAATGAATATGTGGTAGTAAAAAACCCTGGTAGTCCATGGAGAAGGTGCAGAGGTGCAGTGAGTCTGAGGCAGAGCAGTGAGCTGTCAGGATGGGCACTGCAGTGGGTAGGAGCAGCTCTCAAGCCTGCTGGTCTGAGCCTCAACAGTGCCGTCCTGCTGGCCAGAGCGCAGGGGGTAGAACAGTCTGTGGGGGGGATGGTTGAGATCCTGAATGATGGATCGGGCTTTGTTGAGGCAGTGCAAGGTGTGAATCTCACCGATTGATGGTCAGTCACATCCTATAATCCCCTCTGTGCTGTTGCCACAACCCTTTGCGGTGCATGTTTGTCATGTATGGTAGTGTTGCTGTACCACACGCTGATGCCACTGAGGACACTTTCTATGGTGCTGCGGTAAATTATGAGAGGCTGCTTCCTCAAACCGCATGTCTTCGAGCACCGCGAAAGGAACAACAGCACCTGTGCTGCTTCGTACTGGCTACGGTGTTGGGAGACCAAGCCCAGTGGGAGATCTCCAGACCGAGGAACCTGAAGCAGCTGACGGTTTCCCCTGCTGTGCCCTCGATGCCGACTGGGGCGTGACTCCCTCTGGGCCTCCTGAAGTCCCCAGTGAGTTTTGTCTCATTTGTGTATGTGGACTCCCCATCGTTTCTGATCAGCTCGATAACTGTGGCGCCATCTGCAAACTTAACGTGGTTGCTGCTGTAAGTGGCTGAACCAGTCGGAGGTCAGCAAGGAGTCCAGCCTAGGACTGAGACAGCAGTCTTGGGGATCATCGTCGAGGAGAGATTGTTGCTAGTTTTTACCACCCGAGGTCTGCCTGTCAGGAAATCCAGTATCCAGTTGCATGAGCCCAGATTCACAAGTTTTGGGACCAGTTTGGTGGGACCAGTTGTATTAAAGGCTGAGCTGTATTCTATAAATAGCATCTCAACATAAGTTCCCTAATAACTAAGTAACACACTAACCCACCTGGATAAAAGGAACACCTCCACAAGAATGCTGTTCATTGACTTTAGCTCAGCATTTAACACCATCATACCCATAAAACCTGCTATCAAACTCGGGGCTCTAGGTCTAGATACCACCCTCAGTAGCTGGATCCTAGACTTCCTTACCAGCAGACCCCAGACTGTCAGGATTGGCAACCTCACCTCCAACA